TCAAACTGATCGATTCGACGCATCATTATCAAGAACTAGCTTCTGCCCGCGACTTCGTATGCGCAATCCCGTTTTCTCCCGTTCCCGTAGGATTTTCAAGATTTTTTCTGTCATAAGAACCTTCTGGCAATAACAAACACAACAAAAAAAATCAGCCAAATCGGTCTAACCATTCTCAAGTTGTGGCGTGTCAACAGGAAACAGGTTTAATTTTTATATATAAATAAAAATCTTTTAAGGTCTTGACCAATGTCACACTCTAGCATGTCCTTTTAACCTTAAAATGCTATTTTCCACTAAACGTTGTCAGTACTTTAACCTACGTTAACGAATCGACAAGAAAGCCCTAATTAATATCAATAATGAACCCGATTTGCGTCAATTACGTCAGATCTCAGCCATCATCATTACCATAGACTATATTATTCAGTAAAGGGTTTCCTATTGCCTCATTTGCACCGTGATGCTGAAGCCTAATTATCTTTCATTCATTTGTTTATTCATTGAAGGCGAGAAGTCAGTTCATTCAAGGATCTTAAACTTAGCTATAGGTATTTATTTCATCTGTACTATATAATATGTATGTTTGTGTAATACAACTGATGTCTTCCTAAGTCTACTAGAAAATGACAGTGACGGTCAGAACTTAGTTGTTCATTTCCACTTCAATGCCGCTGATTAATTGGCTTTTTCCTGCATGTGTGTCTTTTGGACTTCTAAGTTCTCCTTTTGAGAGAAACGAAAACAAATATACATCCTTCAAACCCCGCTAAAATTAGAATTATGCTTTGAATATCCAGCGACTTCCAGCAATTTTCATTTATATTGTATTTTAATGGCCATTTTGGAAATATTTTCGCTACAAATATTCTTAATATCACTCGGAACAAAACCACTTGGATTACTTTCCTATAACTTAAAACATAACTCAAAAAACAATACATTACACAAACCCACCCCATTTTAAAAGCCCAAACAAGAAGAGCAATATCTTCCGTAACATAAAATTCGAAAAAAAAGTTTAATGGGTCCAAAATCCTGGCTCCAATAAAACATAAAAATACCCCAATATATTAGACGAAATTGATATTGTATAGATGATCCCTATTATAACGGCGGTATGAACACAGTGCCCTGTTTTGCATATAGAAAAGCGATTCTTTTTTTATGTGGAACTTTTTGAGGGACGATGGAAAAAGTGCAGTGGACTGCGCGCAAGAATTAATGGTGTGAAACTTTGGGCCGAGCCGTCGTGGGACCCGGTTGTACGGCACCTAAATTTATGTACGTTCACGATTCCGTAGCTGGCTGCTTTTTGAACGAATTTTTGCTGATCATTTGTTAGCGTTTGAACATTGATCAAAAATACGGATTAACGGTTTTACCTCCATAGACTAGGGAGAAGTTGGTATTACACTTACATTGTTAACTTCTAAACTAATGCAAAATATTAAGTTATTCATAAGAGTAGAACAATCTCCAAAGATCATTTTACTGTCTAAGAAAAATGACTTAAATATTTGACTCCCTAATTTGATCTAACGCAATTTGTCTTCCTTTTATTCAGTCACGAAAAAATTGTAACCTAATTGTGGCCACAAAGGCAGACCATCGATCACGGACGAAACCGTCATCGCATTCAATAAGAATCTGCATCAAACGATTGCTACAATCAATCCTCATTTGCCGAGACGCCGAAAAAATCAGCCGACGAGAAGCCACAGATGGTGGAACATTTTTAATAGTCGCCAAGAACTCGCCAGTCACCAACAGACAAATCTACTGTAATTAATGACTATGAGGGTATTTTTTTTTCACTCCGATACCAATAAAGGAGACATTACTGAAGGGACAAAACAAAACATTGCGCCCGGTGTCGAACGAAAGGAGAATTTATCATCTAGACGGCACCGGCAGTCGGCGCACCCGCCAATGTCCATTTGGATAATGCCCAACGCGATTAAAAATATAAAAATACCCCCACCCGACCCCTGTGGGGAGTGGGGGGATTTGACGGAGGACATCGCGCTGAGGACACAAAAGGATTATAAATGAGAAGGAATTTTAGATAATATTTGTACGCTGGATGTGGATTGTAATGTCGGTAGAGATCGGCCGGCGGGGGCCCACAAGCACCCCACCGGGGGGCGCCTTCCGCGATCCGCACCTAATGAGTGTTTGTATCAATTTGTTAGTATTGTATTTGAATATTTTTATACGTTCGTTACGATTTTAATCCCTTGTGGTTGTGGCAGACTGGATCGATGCTTTTTTTTAATTCTCGGCCGTTTGATCACCGGGTGCGTTTGTGTTGATTAAAGGCGTTGTTCGAGGTTTCGGGGACCCATGTCTCGACCGCACTCTCTTTTTGTTCTCTTTACTTATGTCCGACAATTTGGATGAGTGTAGAATATTAAAAGTGTGATTATGTCGTGACTACCTGTTCCACAGCCTTTACGAGCGATGAGGCCGTTATGAAAGTAGTTCATTGTTGACATAACGAGCCCTAACTTTAACTGGCCTCTGAAAATACTGAAATTTTCTAATTTCACTTCGCGTTATAAAAAAATAATTAATTCTAATTACTGTGTAGGCCTTAAAAACACAATTCGCGCGTGTAGGACCCCACGATAGTATAAAGGGTCAGATAAACATGGAAAAAATATAATTCGTATTCATAATTAATACATTTTAAAAATATAATATTTTCCAGGGATTTTTTAGACTACGAAGGATGAATCCGAATGAGCGAGAAAAGAATAACACAGCACTGAGCGAGCGACACTCGGTGTTTTCAATTCATTATCTCGAAAACAAAAATTTCATTAGCCCCGAGATTTCCTTTTTAAAATTAATTATTCATATTTAAATTAAACAAAATATAATAGAGGTCCGCCAGAGAAAAAAGCGGCTTTATCGTATCATATTTTATTAACCGAATTTATAATTCTACGCCGATTCGAGTAAATCCCCTACAGTGGGTAGACGGAGGGGGTTGCGCGGCCTCTCCCTGGGAAATATTTATGAATGCCAAGCAGAAAAATCCACAATAATATTTCAGGGTGGACGTCGGCCGCGGTCTTTACTTGCCAGCCCCTGATCTATTTAAAAAAAGGCCTCCCGGAAGGACAAAAGGGCTGCGGGGTGCTCGTAAAAAAAACTGGACACGTATAGAGGTTACCGGCCGTCCGGCCGCTTTGTCTGATTCTTATTTTTTACCGGATCGGATCCTTTTCGCCGTTTTTTATCGGTTTTTGTTCCGGAGACACTACGGACCGGGTCGGATACCCCGTTTGTTCTAATGTCATCCCATTTGTAATTTTTACGTTTCACTGTATGTGTATTTTTTTAGTTGACCGCCTAATGGCCACCCTTTTCTTTGGTATGTAAAAATCGTTTGATTTATATTTCGGTTGTGACCAGCGACAGTTTTCTTTTACGGGAAATTTTAATTGTATTCCATTGTTTTCCCAGTTATTTGTTTGAATTAAGCTGAATTGTTTGAATTAAAACTCCTACGGATACAAACTTCCAAAGAAAATGAACTATGACATCTGAATCAATACAAATAATTCATAATAAAACGCAATAGTTTTCTCCACAATACATCAAAAGCAGTCATAAAATTCAAAGCAACTGACAATGAATACAAAGTTGCACAATGAACAGGCTGATGTAACGGAATCCCGAACGTGCCGGACAATGGGATTAGCCTCAAATTGGACGTGTAGCATGCGCTGTGCCCCACTGCTGCGGGATCTATTGATAGACATTGTAATTCTGAAGTAAATGCATTTTGAAACACTGCTCAGTGCTCATGGCATTTGTAACTATATGCTAGTGGCATATGATACACTTTCTCAAGAAACTGATTATCTTTTGTAATTAAAGTATATTTACGATTTTCATTCTCGATAAACGGACTCAAATGAACCACATTAAGTCTATCTATCTCTTCGGAGTCTTAAAATGTTTTCTAGATTATACGTAGATTATTATACACAAAATCCAATTACTTTCTCTAAACAAAAACCGTCCAACAAAACGTTCAATATGTCCTAAATAACCACAAAAATGTGCTTCATAAATATGCCCGCAAAATGTAGTCCATTTTACCTTATATTTCACCTTGGCTTCAGTTCGAAATCACAGACCCCATTTTAATATTAAACAAGTAAATCCAACAAGAAGGCGAGTTCTAAACGCACGATTAATCCAGACCGCGTTCCCGCCAAAAAAGAGGAAAAAACAAAATGGCCGGCGAATAATCAAATTATTAGAAGGCCCACGTGAAGGCACGAGGTCTTACCGCTTATTTATCATAGATGTAATGGATGTTACCATTTTTCGCACGATGTTATCGGCGTGTTTTTAGTATATGTTTAAATACACTTATAACAGTGATTTACTCTCCATAATAGCTCGTTCTCCATAATAATCTGACTGCCTCGTTTGCCGAGTGGTCGCAAGTGCGACTGCCAGGCAAGGGGTCTCGGGTTCGATTCCCGGGTCGGGCAAAGTATTACTGGGTTTTTTAAAAATCTCAGTAGTAGCACGGAGTCTGGAAATGTGCCCGGTATATGGCAATAGGCTCACCCCCTATTACATGGGACCTATAGAATAAATAGTGAAAAGTGGGTGTTACATTGTCATTAAGTGCCGAAATGTGCACCTCTGCCTACCCCTTCGAGGATAAAAAGGCGTGATGTTATGTTATGTTATAGCTTCTGTCCTTTTGTCTTAGAGAGTAACTCTTTAAGAGTGATGATGATAGGATTTCAAGGTTTAAAATTATTAAACTTTAAAATATAGTAGGATGACTTCTATACATAATATACATTTCAAAGATAAGGCCAATTCAACACTTCAATTCAGTATTTTGTGTTTGTAGTCGAATTATGAAAAAAAATGTTTTCACATCGGTTCTCCTTCAACAGCATCAACACCGTCGATATAATTATTTCGCCCTTAAATCACTAATGTTATTTTTCTTTTTACAGGAGTTACTCCTTGGACGAAAGATTCCTGTACTGCCAGGGTGAGGTACGCCGTGTCCATTGGCACCCTGCGTCACTATCACACGTGTTCGTATTGGGATCGGATAACACTATCAGGTGAGCTTATAAAAAATAATATCCTTGTGTTACTAAAGCTTCACATAACGCCTTTTTAATAGAGATATTTTAAAAAGATTCACATGTTAAATGGTACCCAATGCCCTGTTGTCAACAGCTATTTTTCCGATATAATAGGATTGCTCTACTCGGGTTTAATTTCAATCTAAGTGTTGTTGACTACTAGGGAATATAGTGCAGTGGTTTCCCGTTGCTTTCTGCACCAGACCTTTAAACGTTGTTCAGACCTTCAGGTTACTGAAAGTCTTCTACAACTTTTCCACCTGGCCAATGACAAGGACCAATTCAAAGAAATCCGAAGAAGTGTTGTTACGGAGAATTCGAATAACTTATAGCCATATAAGAAAATCGATGAAACTCCCTTTGATTTGCAATTTAAGTCTTAGTTCTTAAACTGTCAAACACCAAGCGGTCACCGGTGACCGCAACCTATTGTTCTATAATTGTGTCTGCAAAACCGGTACTCGACGAGTTAAGCAACCTATTCACTCGGGCCTTAAAGACACCCAGGTACACCCTTCAGGAAATACAGACGCTGGCAAAGAATTACACTCCTGCTCGATGATGTAATAGACAGAGGTCTAACTATGACATCACTGAAAATGAACATTTTCCGTTACAGACTCTACAACATAGCCCTGAAAAAAGGTCCCAAATTAGTCCAAAGTTTCACCATTGGCATCAAACCATCAAGCCAGTTAGCTGGTAGGAACATACTGGACAGTCTTGGAGACACTGCGGTGGACTTCACTCCTATACCTGATAGCGAAACACTACTGATTCTGAGGGGGAATGGAGACGTCTATATGATGCAGTGTGAATTGGAACGTAAGAGGTAAGGTGTAGAGTCTAGATTGAATTGATTTCTTTTGCAGATTTTAACATGACAACGGAGCTTGATTTCATCTACTTGAACTGTTATTTGTCATTGAGCTTAATGGGAAGGCATAGAACTAAACGGAAATAAGCCGTAATTTTGAACCGTTACGAATTGGACTCCCATTCCCAGAGTAAAAGGTTGGAGAATCACCTCCTCTATACGCCTGTTCCATTTGATCCATACTTCCAGGGACACCCTCGATAGAAGAGACCCATAGTCCAGCAGGGAACTGTACGAGCTGTTGCTGAGAAATATACCTTTTTGACTCATTGGACACCGTATCGAAAACGATTATCGACGCTGTTTTTTTTTTGTCAGTCTCTGAATCATAGAATTATAAACTACTAGCTTTTACCCGCGGCTTCGCTCGCGTCACAAAAGGATAGAAAGCCAATGTGACATATACCCATACACATATCGCCATCTATACCAATACTTTTGTTTTCCTCGGGAATATCAACTTTTTCCAGGAAAAAAGTACCCTATTATTTAATCCAGACTTCTAACTTTATGTCTGTAAAAATTCAAAGCAATCGGTTTAGTAGTTATGGCGTGAAAGCGGAACAAACAAACAAACTAAGTTTCCGATTTATAATATTAGTAAGGATTTTTTTTTTAGGTAAACGTTGTCCCACTCTAGGATATACTCCTGTGTCGTGGATGCGTTTTTAAGCATACAATTTTATATCTATTAAACTATCGACAATAACCCAATTCTTAATAATTTCAGTCCCCTACAACCGAAATTGTCGGGTCCGCTCGCGATGTATCCGCCGGCAGATGACAACTATGGCTCCGAGTCGTGCTCCATCATCGCTCTGGGAGGAGGAGACACCCCTCCCCTTGTGGTAGTTGCCACCTGCTCAGCTGCCTTGTACCATTGTCTGCTGTTGCCTAATGTAAGTAGACTAGATCTTAGACTAAAATCTCCTAACATCGAATTTGTCGAGGATATTGCAAATCCGCAGATCCAGACGTATGCCCCGATACGGAGCCGCGAAAGGACTAACGGGTTACCGGGGCTCCGGCTCGATTGGCAGGAGTAGGAATGGGGTGGTTTTTAGTCAATAAGAAACTTAAGTGCATAGGTCATACATTTTTTTTTAATTCCGGGGTTCTAAAGGGTGTCTTTTCAGGGGAGATGTAGTAACATAAGATCACGCCTTTTATCCCCGAAGGGGTAGGCAGAGGTGCACACAGAAGTAACACCCACTTTTCACTATTTATGTTATTATTATTATGCCCGACCCGGGAATCGAACCCGAGACCGCAAGTGTATTAGTCTAAGAGACGAGGCAGTCTAGTATATGTCACAATTCACTGTTGCACTGCTACAGTTAAAGTAATTACCGTAGCAATATTGACGCACGAATTGGGGTCATTAGCTAATAATATAAAAGACAGTGTAATGTGTTTTCTGCGATTATTGCTATAGAGACTACATAAATATACACTTATTGAACACTCCACGTTGAGTTTCTGTTCTCTCCGAGAGCTGCTTTATCGACTTATTACAAGTCTAACACTAACTCTCGCCTAACCCAACGCGGGAGAAGTTATTGGATGATTTTCCCCGCTCAAAAAAAATCATTATAAGTGTGTTTCCTTTTCAAAAGAATAAGTATCAGGTGATTTGTCTACTCGCTTGGCCAATTTCTATTAAAATAACATATTAATTAATCGTATAAAATTGCAGCCTTCGGAGAAAGAAGACGGCGACACTCACGCCCTCTACGTGGTGGAAGCAGTGGAATTGAACGTCAACCTGAGCCCTGATGATGAACAGTCCTACTCATACCCTGTCGACTTGTATCCTGTAAGTTTTATACTGAAATTGTCATTTTAAAACATTATCTTTCATACCACTCAAGCAGCAAATTCTTTACTGATTCTAACAGGTAAAGTTTCTTTTATATTGAAGTTTAAGATTGATTTCCTTGCTTAAAACCTGCATAGCCGTTATTCAACTGATCAAAAATTAAGGTAAGATACAGTGGAACTGTCTATTAGAAAAACATCAGTAAGTTTGAAACCTAAACAGTATCTACTGTCGCGGATTACCTAACGGGTAACCGGGGCTCCGGCTCGACGTGCAGGAGAAGGAACGGAGTGGTTTTTAGTCAGTAAGAGTCTGACATTCCCTTCCCGCCTCACCCAGGCGGGAGCCGTCATTCGATGACTTTCCCCCCAAAAAAAAACAGTATCTACTGTCCTAGATATTCTTAGTATGTAACTAAACTCATTTTGTCATGACCATGCTACCATTTCTGTTCAGTGCTGGTTATTTCCCTCCTCTTACTGTAACATTCTCTTCATAATGTTCCAGTGCACAAACAACACGTACGCGTGCGTCCACGCGGGCGGGGTGCACGCCATCACACTGCCCATACTGGGACATCTCGTCGACTACGCACTGGCTGATGACAGTGAGTAATCAAATTATCAATTATTTTATATAAATACATTGTTGACCATCTGAGAGAACATGCATCGACACGAACGGATCGGTTTAACTGGAGTGATACCACGGCCACGCAGAAAATTTAAGTAAAATGACCGGTGTATGTAAGTTACTGAAAGTGTGATTTTCCTCATGAGTCTGATTATCCTCAGGAGACTGGGTGTGGGAACACCCAGTCTCCTAATCCAAAATCTCCTAATTCCCAAGCTTCAAATTCCCAACCACCCAATCTTCAAATTCTCAATCTTTAAATACCCATTCCCCAACTACCCAATCTCCAAATATCCCCAACTATTCAATCCCTAATCCCCTAATCCTTAATTCTTTAATCTACGCACTTGTAATTCCTTGGTATTGCGGGCCTCCATAGGCGACGTCGACTGTTTACGATCATAAAATCTGTATATCTGTATGGGAAAGACGCTTCATTTACCGCCTTATGCTATAGCAAAAAAAAAACATCAACTTGTCTGATGGTCTACTCTATCCCAACAAAAACATAACATAGTTCTATTTGTCATATAAGAAGTATTATGCCGGAATACTGAGACGTTACTCAATTTTAAGTGGTGCTTAAATATCGTGCCATCTCTGTCATTGTACAAAGAATTAGTGGGGACAGAACTATACTTAAGCACGGCTTCAAATTGAGTAGCGTTTGAGTATTCCGACATGAGTCCGTTGAATCATGGTGACAAGTGGTCCGTCCCCAGCGGAGAGCGAGTGCGTGCTGGGCGCGCTGTGCGGGCGCGGCGCGGGCGCGCGGCATGTGCTGCAGGGCGCGGGCGCGGCCGGCCTGGCGCTCACTGCGCCGCCGCTGCAGCGGGTACTGCTACTCGTCGAGCCCGCCACCTTACTGCCCAGGTACCTAACTTAATACCGGGGGCGCGGGCGCGGCCGGCCTGGCGCTCACTGCGCCGCCGCTGCAGCGGGTACTGCTACTCGTCGAGCCCGCCACCTTACTGCCCAGGTACCTAACTTAATACCGGGGGCGCGGGCGCGGCCGGCCTGGCGCTCACTGCGCCGCCGCTGCAGCGGGTACTGCTACTCGTCGAGCCCGCCACCTTACTGCCCAGGTACCTAACTTAATACCGGGGGCGCGGGCGCGGCCGGCCTGGCGCTCACTGCGCCGCCGCTGCAGCGGGTACTGCTACTCGTCGAGCCCGCCACCTTACTGCCCAGGTACCTAACTTAATACCGGGGGCGCGGGCGCGGCCGGCCTGGCGCTCACTGCGCCGCCGCTGCAGCGGGTACTGCTACTCGTCGAGCCCGCCACCTTACTGCCCAGGTACCTAACTTAATACCGGGGGCGCGGGCGCGGCCGGCCTGGCGCTCACTGCGCCGCCGCTGCAGCGGGTACTGCTACTCGTCGAGCCCGCCACCTTACTGCCCAGGTACCTAACTTAATACCGGGGGCGCGGGCGCGGCCGGCCTGGCGCTCACTGCGCCGCCGCTGCAGCGGGTACTGCTACTCGTCGAGCCCGCCACCTTACTGCCCAGGTACCTAACTTAATACCGGGGGCGCGGGCGCGGCCGGCCTGGCGCTCACTGCGCCGCCGCTGCAGCGGGTACTGCTACTCGTCGAGCCCGCCACCTTACTGCCCAGGTACCTAACTTAATACCGGGGGCGCGGGCGCGGCCGGCCTGGCGCTCACTGCGCCGCCGCTGCAGCGGGTACTGCTACTCGTCGAGCCCGCCACCTTACTGCCCAGGTAAAGAAAGAAAGAAAGAAAAATTTTATTTCACACGCTAAAACAGGTGACAGATTTTACACATATCTACTCATGTCCCAAGTCTGCGATGAAATGGGACCAGTTCAGCATGTGCAAGACAGGGCCTTGCGTTGGTATTCTACTGGCCCCTTAAGTGACTCTTTGCCCCTTAAGGTACGTTACTTAATACCGAATTTTGCTCACCAAATGTAGAAAGAGATGCAGCTGGCAACTTTTATATATACTAGATAGTAGATATGAAGTAAGTAGGGTGCTCCTTGTCTATGGTCCACAGATAATATTAGATATTAAGTATTCTATGATTTCAGTAAAATAATAAGTCAGTGGACCATGAACAAGACAAGACTTCATTTTTAATTTTTTAGCTTTTATTTTAATTTATTTTTATTTTTTAATCATGTTATGTAGGTATGTTCTGCGCAGAAATAAATGGTTTTTCTTTCTTTCTTTCTTTCTGTCAAAAATCCATCATCCAATGGTATGACATTCGGAGCCGCGGAAGACTTGACGGGTTGCCGGGTTCCGGCTCGACGTGCAGGAGTAGGAACGGGGTGGATTTTAGTCGATAACAGTCTGATTCTCTCTCTCGCCTCACCCGGACGAGAGAAGTAATTGGGTGATTTTCCCCACAGAAAAAAAAATGATGTAACACTAACTAATTCCTCTAAGTCCTTATTTTACCCTACTTAAACATACGCTTACATACGCTCCAACACACACACAGACAAACAAACTACCTCGTTGGTCGAGTGGTTGCAAGTGCGACTGCCGGGCAAAGCGTCGGATTCGATTCCAGAGTCGGGCAAAGTTTTACTAGGTTTTAAAAAATCTCTGTAGTAGCACGGAATCTGGAATTGTGTCCGTAATATGGTTTGCCATATACTAAGCCTATTAGGGCTTACTCCCTATTACATGGGACTCATAACATAAATAGTGGAAAGTAGTAGTTGTTACATTGTACAGTGGCATTAAGTGCCGGGATGTGCACCTCTGCCTACCCCTTCGGAAATAATAGGCGTGATGTTAGGTATGTATCTACAGTACAATTAGATACGTGTACATGCAAAAATAACCTTTATTGCAAAACTACATTACAATAATACCAATCAATATTTTAACTGTTTGTTAGAAATAAATAAAAAAAATTCTCCCCAACAGAACATTGGAACCCTTCGATCTTGAAGAACAGCTGTACAAAGAGTTGCAGCTCAAGAACCCGACACTGGAACAGGATGACATCAACAATATACTGAAAGAGGTATGTGGACAAAAATCACGTCATTTAACCTTTTTTTTAGCTTCATCATCACCAGCCTATTATTGGCCCACTGCTAAGCAAAGCCTCTTCTTACGCGGAGAAGGTTTGAGCGTTAATCACCATGCTTCCTCAATTCGGGTTGACAATTACAAACTTGGTTTCCTCACAATGTTTTCCTTCAACGTTTGTCAGTGGTGTCTAAATAATCTTAGAAAGTACATATAACTCGGAATAAGTCACATTGGTACTTGCCATTGGTAGGTTTCGAACTGGCACCCTCGTGCATAAGAAGCGGGCGTCTAAAACATCTGGGCCACCACGACCATTTTTTTTTATGCTTGTGAGTTAAAAACTATGTAAAGCAATAGTGGGCATTTTCATTTCCAAGTGCCACCCGTATTTAATATTGAGTGTTACAATAAATTGTGATTTTCTTATTATTTTATTTTTCCATACAATAAAAAATCTATTAAGCTATTTAAAAATATGTAATATTATATTAAAATCCTGCGATTTCAGAATAAAAACATAAGAAAAGTTAACTTGGGTCATAGAATAATATCCATTTCGTTACCAATTTGAAATGTGAAATAGGTAATTAAAATACATTTGTTTGATGGCTTACTTATTTTTATCCAATAAAACAAATAACATTCTTCAAAAAATCAATTTTATTTGGTATTTTAGGCTTTAAATAATATTACAAAAAATATTTGCAACCAATTTCGTTACCATTGTGTCTCAAACTAACATTCATTTTCTTATTTTTTATTAAAATAATTCAAATAACAAAAAACTAAAATATGCGTACAAAAGAAAATTTTGCGTACTTTCGCATACCAAATTATAAAAAACAGAACGTTTGGGAAAATATTTTAAATGAAAATTATTATATGTATGGTTTCGAGGACAGTAACGAAACCGAAACATAAGGCAGTGTCTACAAAGTCCTTAAAGATTATCAAAAATTGGATTTGTTCTTAAATTACAATAATTTTTGAAAATTACCATTATGGTACTTATAGTTTTATTTTATAATAAATAAGTACTTAGCTTTTTTTAAGTCTTCTTATTAATTAAGTCTTTGGTAAGTATCAGCTAAAAATGAATAAAGACGACAGATGAAGTCGTCAAAATTTGTAATCAATAAGGTAGAAGCTTCACCCAGCTCGCGAAATTCAAATTTTGTTAGGTTTTCTGCAATTTGCAGCACAGTGCTAGGTTGTATGTCGATTCAAATATTGTTCGCGACTGTGAGACGCACGTAGTTACAGAATTATGATCATCAAAATTATCAATACAACCCTCCAAGTTCATGTAACTCCAGAAATGATTTTGACATTGAAAAACTCGTTCCTCCAGTTACATGAACTTGGAGGGTTGTATTGATGATTTTTTTATTATAATTCTGTAACTATATACGTCTTGTAGTCGCAAATCAAATTTTTATCTACATACAACCTAGAAGTTATTAATTAAGTGGTACCTATTTTAATCAGCCTCATTAAATAAAACTTCAAATAATCAAACCTTTTAGATTAATGCACAATATTCGCATTCATCGCTTATGTAATGATCATACGCACAGTAATAAGAACAATAAGGACACCAGAAGAAATTGGCGTCTAGTAATCCTACTATTTTATCCCTAGTAGTTACAAAATGAAGTGGGTTGCCTAGGTCAAATAAAGGGAAACCGCAACCGTAACATTGGTTAAGAAGAACAAAATGAGTAATTTGCCAGGGCCACACCATTGTTTTCAGTTGGTTGAGGCAAGTTTTTGTCAAAAATAAATCAATATCCATTACAAGTTGTATCATTTTGACGATACCCTTTACCTGGAATAATAAAAAAAAATACTAAATGAGATTGTACTCGACCCTTAACTGGAATTTGGAAAAGACTAGGCGGAATATATTTATATGTACATATTAAAGCTTAAATTATCATTCGGAATCCGAGCCTAATAAGCACGAGTCACATACAAAATCAAAATGAATATCACCATTAGCACATTTTTCGCAGACCAATTTTTGACAAGCCATACATTTAGCTTTTCGGCTTGAGATTATTCCAACATTGCATTGATTGCATTGTAGAGATTTAGATTTTCCTGGAACACAATATACTGAGTCTTTAACGTTGAGAACCTTAGAGTTTTTTTTAGGGCTCCATAATATGTTGTAGGGTTTGTTAATCTCTGTAAGGGGAGTCGAAGATAAAGAATCTGTATCTTGAATTTCTATAACTATAGGCAACTCGTCTATGTCTATCAAATCGATGTTTTGGTCAGCAGAGTCTTCTTTAACGAGGTCCTGAATAAATTTTACATCTTCCGGATCGTATAATGAAAATGATATTGAATTATTTGAAATTTCTGTTAAAGGATCTCTAATTGGTTTCTTGGATGACAGTTGCGAACATAAATCTTCCGTCTCACGATTTTCACACGAATGGTTTCCTGATATAGATGGTTGGTTTGCAAAGTTTTCGACGTCTGGTGCTATACAATGATATTGAGGACAGAAACATAAACAATCCCCTCGAACTGCCCCACAAAAGCAGCTAATATTCCTATATTTCAGCATGTTATTATTAGTTGTTGTAATCTGATGTATTAGCATGGTACCTTTAAGGACAGGTACTTTGTTTGGTAACAAGGAAAACACTTCGGTAATTCTGTGTTCAGGGATATAAAAAACTTTTATGCATGTGTAGGATTCTGTCAGCGCTTTGTAGGCCTCGGTTGCGTTTCTTATATCTCTACCATAGCACACTTTCGTATCTAACATTCGCTTAACGCAACCTCCTATACCATCGGCAACACTTTTGCCGTGACCGCTCTCGAAATATGACCATGTACAATAATCAAAACCGTATGTATTTGTGTATTTCCAGAGTAAGTAAAAATTATTTTTCTGCCTGTATTGGCTGCTAGGCCCATCAGAATAAAAGTGTATAACAGACACATTTGGAGATTTCTCTTTAATTAAATCTAAAATTGGCGTCAAATGTGCCCATATTGCAGCTGGTTGGTGATTATTAGTGTCAGAAAGTGTACAAAAGGACTGTGAAGTGTCTCTCCAATAAACCATACCTGTATGTATAGTAATTTGCGATTTAGAAGCACCGAAATGCATAGCTTGAATTTCACTAAACATCTTTCCTGCATAATTTTCCGAAAAGTCACAAATTATCACAGCTTCATTATCTTTTAGTTCTGTAACTAACTTTTGATACTGGGTTTGTTGGTGCACCATATTAAAATGATGTTTTTTAAATATTAAAATATCCTTATTGAAATTTGCCAGTAATTCATTGATAGAACCTTCCTTTAAAGATTTAATTGTTCTTTTGGTCTTAATTGTTTTGTAGTAGTCTCCATCTTTTTTTGTGTATTCATGATTTTGCTGTTCCCACTGATTCCATGTAATACTTTCCGGTAAGTTATTGTTATCAATCTGCAGTTGAAGTTCTTTATCTTTACATTGTTGGCATTGATTGTACATACACTCATAATTTTTTGTATCACACACTATCCCGTTTAATATATCTTTAATGTTTCCTTTTACCAACCCATACTTCTTTAAGACAATGTGCTTCATTTCCAAGTTATTATGCTTTATACATAAACATGTGTCTCTTGAAGTAAGACCTGGTGAGAGTACAAAGTGTGGTTTATTTTTATAAAACGTTGTAAACCCGTATACTCCTCCCTCTGCTTTATACTTCTTATATGTATTAACTAATGTATCTAATAAATAACGAATTTGCTGTTTGTTTTTGTTTTTGGTTCTAGTTTCCTTCCTGCCAGATGTGTTGCGGCTCACGTCATCCCTCATAAAAAATGATTTAATTTCAACATTGTGTACGATTCTATTTGTTTTCTTTCTATTTCGTGGTTTTTGGTTTAGTCCCAACATAGAAGTAAGATATGCTTTATTTTTAGAATTTTTAATTAATAATTTTAGTATATTTTTATCTCTTCGTGATTTTAATGTTTTATATGACTTATTCAATGTCAATTCTAGAATCTCTTCTCGCGCTTTTGATTTTAGTAAATTATTGTTTAATTGCGAAATTTTATGCTGAGAACTTCGCTTGAGTCTAGTAAGACGTTTTTTGTATTTTTGTAATTTCGTGTTTAGAGTGACACTTTGCGATTCGTAAAACCTACATCTGCTTCGTAAATAGCTTGATTTTTTTCTTAGCCTTTTAATTATTTGTTCTTGGCTTTCTACGCTTACGGTTTTCTTCTTTTTCTTTTCTTCTGCTATTTTTAACGCTTTAACTTCTTCTCTTTTCTTTTGCTTTTCGACTCTCCACTTTTCTCTCTGTATTTTTTTTTCAGCGTCTGTCATTTCAGAGATCTTTTTTTTATTTGATTTAATTTTTGCGAGGTGCCTTTTTCTTTGAGCCTCATATTCCTCAGGACGCTCAGTTTTTAACTTCTCCCTGTATCTTCTCATTTTTTCAGCGGCAGTGAGCGGCATTGTAATTAATAATACCTTAAAAGCATATAAATATTGCTAAAAACCTTTAACCATCAATTTAATACGATCAGCAGCAATGCACTCTCACATAAAAAAGGTCTTTGCTCAAGTCATGCTTGCAAAAAATGTAATAATATACAACTGAAATTATGTGAAAGCTATTTATAAAAATAACGTTACCTTGTTTGATACTTACTTAGTTCTTCTATAAGCTTTTGAAATCTTTTTTGACTTTTATACGGCCGGCACCTAAAAATACAGTTAATTTTTTTAACGATAATATTGTACAGGTACATTATAAAAATATTTAGTTATATAACCGCAGCTTTATGATTCGGTTTCGTTACTTTTGATGTTCGGCATATACGTTACTATAAGCAAAGTAACGAACCCGAAATGACGGACAATTACTCTCATAAATAAAATGAATTCTTGTAATTTAACTAATTCTTAACTAGTACATATTTCTTTGCAAATCACTTCATAATCTAATTAAGAAAATATGAAAACAATCTGTTAGCTACAAATTTAGATTTATAAAGGTAAAATTGCAGTAACTCACCTGGACAAGTTTTAGCACACACTTGAACACACGGCTGATACAACCTCATTTGACGCTGTCTGGACGAAATAGCCGACACTCGAACACAGTTTTGACATTATACGAACAATGTTGTTATTTAAAAAAATATTTCGTTACTATTCGGAAAATTTAGATAGGCAAAAATACGGTAACTAAACGGACACTGTCGGAATGCCGACAAAATGAGTGTTTCAATTTATTTAAAAAAAATGAATAAATTACTAAAAAACCAGATTTTTTTTTGCATAATTGTTAGTTTATATTGTAGGCTTTTAATTAAGTGAAAAAACATTACCCCAAGTCGAATAAAAATGTTGAAAAATATATAAATTTTAGTTGATAGTTGGTCGGGGACAGTGAAATATAGGGGGTAATTTCGAAAATGAATCTGTTTTATTATAATTTTCTTGACTAAGTGTTAAATATTATGTTACTATCTTAAACTAAGGATGTACTAGTATGCTTAGCATTAAAATAAATTGGGTAATATCCTACCAAAATCATATAATAATTAATTTAATACGAGGGACAGTCAAAAAGCGGGGGTGGTCTTTAAAAATGAAAATGCCCTAGTATGCTAATTTTGCGAGATTC